GGGTCAGCTTAGAAGTGTGTGACAACCGTTCTATGAGAGTCTAAAGGGAAGTCCTTGGCAGATTTGCTTGAATGACACAAGGTCATGAGGATTTTTATACTGTTAAAAAAGCAAAACAAAGGACAGTATCAGTAGGAAAAAGCCCAGGAAATTTTGAAAAAAATATATATATATTCTTCCATTACAGTAATACTCATTCTTTGAGAGTGGTAAGAGCTATCCCCGCTACCCTAAAGCCCCGCTCTTGCCCCTGTAGACTTCTTTTTGTTTTCACACTTAGAAGATTGGCATCTTCTAGGGATGTCATTTTGATGAGATGCAAACTGCAGAAATCAGAATTCTTTGGAGAAAGGATTAGAGATATGAAAACACTGTCATAAGAAATATACAGACATAGATGGAGAATATGTTGTGAAACAACAGTGTCCTATTTTGATATTTTTCCTGAATGCAGGTTCCTATTATTTTGTAGCCTTACATTTTTGACTTTCATTGTTTTGGTTATGTTTCTTTGGATAATCCTGACTTATGAAAACCCTTCCCAGGCATTTGTGTTATTGTGTAAAATTATAGGATCTATAGATGTTTGATCATGCCAGGAAATTCTTCTGAGTTAAAAAAAAAAGACAATTTCCAGTAGAATGATTTGATGTCTCCCATATGATCCCTCTATGGACTTTTAATGAAGAAAGTAAAGCAAATGGGAACATTCTCCTGCGTGACGGGGCCCACCTTCGGGTCTTCACAGAGGGATTTGCAAATCACACAGAGCCTGAGGAGAGAATGCAAAAGTAAGAAGGGCATGGTGGATTTAATCATGGAATCAATAATATACAAACATGTCAAAAGGACCATGCACAAATATTTTTGGGCCTTTGGGAAAACCTTATCAGGACGATGTTATAGCATTATTGAAAAACTTACCTGGACACCCCTCTTTTCATTATTATGTCATATTGTTTTAGAGGCAAACCTTGGGCATGTCAGAAGCATCTGTTTCGAAGGATAAAGTAATTTCCAATAATACCATACATACAACACAAACATAAATGCAAACATATTCCTAGCATGAACTCTCAAAATCTTGCCAGTCCCCGATATGCTTTACTCTCTCAGACATTGGAACGTGTCCATTTATCCTCTTTGTTTCAATGGTGTCATTTAGAGAGCATCACTAAATAGCAGCTGGGGGCTGTCAGCATGTCCTGCTTCAAACAAGCAACCACACCTTGCAGACACAGCTTCTTCTAAGGGCGGCCATGCCCACCCCTCACTGTTCTCCCCAAGCAATCACTGGAGATGTCTGTGAAATGGGGTTTATCATGCATTTTCCCTCTCCGGTGCTTCCTGCAAACTAAGACAATTCATTAGCTGCAGAAGCTGCCCAGATTCTCACCTTCAGTGCATTTATCAAAAAATGCTGCTCTGTCAAATTAGTCTTGAAATAGTCTTATAAAATCTGAGATCACTTAATTTTGGAATATTGCAATTAGAAATGATATCAGCAAGTTTCTATCATATTCATCTTAAGGAAAGGGTACTCAAGTAGCTGATGATAGAATCTGGACTAGAATTGAGTTGTATTGATCATTGTAAGTTCAGTGGTATATTCAAATGACTATATAGATATTCTGAAATTCCTATGTCATATATTCACTGGAAACAAGGAAAGTGCTGTGGACACAGCCAATTTACATTTCTATAAAGTTGAGTCAAAAGGAATTGTTTTCAAATAACGCTAAAAATCCTTAAAGTGTAGAAATAAACTCATCTCTTGATAATAAGCAAGAACCAAATCATCCAAGTTATTTGGTAACTAACATGGAAGTAAAGATAATATTCAGTAAACTAGTATAAAAAAGTGGAACAGATATTTTATAAGGAATATTTTTCATAAAGAACACTAAACCACAATATACCAGACATACATTGTAATGTTTTTAGCTCGATCTGAGGAACCCTGGCGTCTCCTCAGCTAACAACTGTGGTGTCCCAGACACATGATAGGGATACAACAGGAGAGGTATGGAGTCGTGCGGTGCACAGGAATCTGAATGATGGCCCAGAGACCATTGTTCAAATAGTATGAGAGTGTTCATTTGCATGTATTGCCTCGAATGGGGACAGAGTTAGAGATTCGTGGAAATCGTGTTTGAAGTTCTATCACAAAGAGGTAAGAATTGGTGCTTTGGAATAACTTGATTGAGCTGTCGTGTGATAACAGTGGACATATTGAAATAATGAAACCCTAATGAGAAGACTCAAACAAATTGGCTTGGGGGCTTGGTTTCATTCCTTTAAAGTGACAAAAGGTAGTATTGGGTCCTCTATTAGACCCCACTATTTGTTAGATGCTGCTTCTGCCGAAGAGTACCTGCCCGACATGAGGACATACATCGGGTGAACAGCAGCTTCAGGCCCTTTGGTTTCACCACGTGCAGAGCCCACCTGTTTTCCTCATCGCTTCTTTTGGATAGATTTTTATTCTTTGGTCTGAATCCACATTTTGCATTTTTTAATCAAGCAAATGTACACATAGACACATAGTAATTGCGTTCAATCTGTACATATGATTCAAGAAGTAGAAGATAAAGTGATGATCAGGGCAACAAATGTGCTAAACTCCAATCAGATTTTAGTGTTAATTCATTTCCAAGTGTATCTCCAGCTTGAAGAATCATAATGGTCAGTCTTCTTCATCATCATCATCATCATCACCACCTGCAGCAACAACTAACATACGCGAAACATCAATTGTCGGTCCTGGGACAATTACTCAGCATGCTTCCAATTTTGCATTTGAGCCCATATGTAAAGGCATGGGTGAGAAAAATAAATCAACTAGAGGGACTTAATTGCCATTGCAGATTTGTTTGTTTGGAAAAGAGTTGGTATCGTGTTGAAGTAAGAGGAGTGAATGTCTATGCAAACGTTTGGTTCAAGTGAAGGCTTGCATGTCCTGCACTACCCATCCACAACCACCTTATTGGACTATCAGGGGAGCTAAAGCTGTCATCCCTACATAATTGTCTCACCAAATGCCATGTTAATGCTGAGAGTAGTGGAGGAATCCCAAGGTATGAAAGAGATTTATTTCTGACACAAATTTGACAACTACAGAAGCCTGTAGGAATGGTCTATCATCAGTAGCAGGAAGCACCAAGTTAACTCTAAGCAGTATAGAGGACAATTTTATTCATTATTTCTAATTAGCATGCACTTGCCAACCCCCTGTTTCCTGAGAGGAGGCAGGTCTAAGTATTATCTCAATAAGCTCTTATCAAACCATGTCTTCCTGGGTCAAAATCTACATCTGACTAAAGGCCTGGCAGGGTGAAATGTCGGTTCCTGCAGATGGCCCAGAAGTTCCTGTTAAAGACTGAGAGCCAGCAGATTGAGATGTAGGTGGTACACTAGGCAGGAGGTACAGTAAAGCTATTCTTCAAATAGAATAAGGAAGCTTCGTGGCTATAAGCATGTTGAAACTTATTTTACAACAACAAAAAAAAGGTCTTAGCTAATCAGAGATCTACAGGAAGACGAGACAGAATGAACCATCCATTGGCCAATGGGTAAAACTGAGTTCGACTAAGAAATGCCACTTGATAGCATTATCCAATCACTCCTGGGAGGACAGTGAAAGTAAAGTCTGCTAGTATGCTGAATCATTGCCCTCGAGTCCACGTCAACTCATAGTGACCCTTTAGGACAAGGTAGGACTGTGCCTGTGAGTTTCTGGTACAGTCACTCTTTATGGAGTTAGAGAGCCCCGTCTTTCTCCCACACAGCTGCTGGTGGATTCAAACTGCTGACCTTATGGTTAGCAGCCCAGTGCATAACCACTACCACATCAGGGCTCTAAAGTATGCTTGGTAGATATTGAAGAGAAAGCTTCGGTTTGAGTGATGGTGTGTACAACTTTTGTCTTCTTATCCCAGCAAAGCGGAAGATCCCATTACTTTTCTCCCTTGATGTCTAAGTGTATTTTATTCACTGGACTCTGGGTGCCTGCCTCATAAGGGAGCATCCCCAGTGCCCCTCGCCTCTGCCAGGAAGCCATGATCTCACCCATGCCATTGGTCAGGGTGGGGCGAGATGCTGGGCGCTCGAGAGCTCATGAACTTGAAGAAGATAAAAGACACGAGTCTGTAGCAATTCAGCAATCTAAGGAAGAACTAACACGGGATGGCCAGAATCAGTGAGGCTTTCCCGGGCGGTCCTAAACCATGCTGCCAGGAGAGAGTTGGGTTAGCTACTGGTGGTGATGGTTGGGACAAAGGGCAAAAGCAAATAGCAAGTCAACCATAATTTCTCAGCTTTGCTCCTCAGAGCGGGAAGTCAAACCGCTGCTCTCCTCTCCCAGAGGAAGACGGCAGGGATTCGGACGGACGGCCCTTTCTTCTGACCTGGTATCTGCTTCTTGGGTACTATTAATTCCCAGAATCAATCAGAACATGTTAACATTATTTGATATGAAAACTTACCTTTTCTCTTGATTTGTGGCTAGAGGGGAGATTCAGAAGGGCAGGTATGAAGGGAAGAGATAAATTCCAAAATACTGGAAGATGGAATGATTCGATATAGAGCCACGACTTTGGGATTGTTTTTAATTTTTTAAAATAACTATATCCATAAATACTTACTCTTAAAAGTTTTTTCCCTAACTGGACTTGACATTCTTTCCACAGAAGGAAGACAGGAAGGTATGCAATGTAGGCAGGGGCTTCCTGGGGAGCTGCCGGGCTCGGGCAGCCACTGCTGTCCCAGGGAGTCGCTATCAAAATCACTGCTCAGGTGAATGAGGTCAGGCTTCTGACCTTCTGGTCTCTTTTCACAGCACATGTCACCAAAGGGCCATAGCCCCATCTCCGTTCCCACCAAAAGATGGCCTAAAGGACACGGACTGAGGAAGAAGCCCATCCCCTCCCCCAAACCGAGCTAGTCAATCATTTCTCACCACACACCTGCCCACTGCTGGAGAATGAGGTACCACACCAAGGTGAAGAGGGACAAGGAACACTTTTTAATGTCAAGTCAGAGACAACCCCTCCCTCCCGTCTCCCCCAATTCCACTTTCCCTCATCACATCCAGGAGCCTGGTTCTCAGACTTCTGTGGAGGAAGAAACAGTTACCTAAAAATTGCATGTTCTTTTCTTTCATACACACGCACACAAAGGTGGAAAATTAAATAAAATCAACTAAGAGGATTAAATTCTCCAGTGGTCACAAAGGCATCAGAGATTCCCATACGGGGCTAAAGCAAGTGGTTACTGATTGTTTAGTTGTTCAGTTGCTTACAGCTTGTTAATGCCTCAAGGCAGGAGGGTGGAGGGACCACCTGTGGTGACCTTCACTTTCAAAGAGCCACACCTTGAAAGAGATGCTGCGCCTTGTATTAGTTTTCTTCTTCTTCTTCTTGTTTTTGTGTTTTTTTTTCTTTCACTTTATATAAATGTCTCTGACGTGTAAATAACCCAAGAAAATTAAAAGGCAGGAGCTGATTACACAATTACCAGTAAACTCTATCATCTTTTAGAGACCAACACTCAGCTAACGCCATATACAGCATGCAGTAATGTCTGAGAAAGGGCCCCGCTGAGAAAGAAAATGGCTAGAATTCTAACAACAAAAAATATATGCATATATATACTGTATAATATATGTCATCAAAAGAAGCATAGGCAACAAACTGAAGATACAGTGTGGATCACTCGTTCCAATTCTAAACAGTATGTAGATAGCATAGTATTGTCTGCATTAAATGCCAGAGTAAGGAGAAATCTGGAGCGCTGGTGGAGATGTCGGTTAAATCATACAGATATTTTTGGTGGCTATGCCCAATCCCCGGGGGGTTAATGCCCGGTGTTGTGGTCCACCAGTTGTAAACCTAGGTAAGAAGTACACTATCCATGTTTAATGTTTAACACACATACTTCTCTTCACCCCTTTCTTTTGTGTATTTTTTTAGTTTTGTCTTAGAGTTGCACTAAGTTCTAGACTTCTATCAGAAAATATAATTAATAAAATTAATAATGAATCAGAATCCCTTATTATCCATGATATCCATGTAGTAAAATGAGAGGGGGGAAAAAGTTTAACATTATCTTTTGTATTTGTTGTCTGTGGGATTGGTGTTGCTGTCAGGCTGCCTTGTCTTGTTTCGTTTTCTTTGTGTTTTTAAGATGTTGCATTTCATAACAGAAACAATGGTGGCACAGTCCATGAAAGAACTGCAAGTGGCACATTTGAGCCTGCACATAGGATCTCGTCACCTCTTTTGATTGGCTGAATTTGGGATGGCTGGTTCTGGAGTTTTCCATGGTGGGGGACTTGTGTGGGCAGAGTGATGGAGCCCTTGCCCAGCCTGGCCTCGAAGAGGTCACAGAAGGATGCTTGTGGATGGGTCCAGAGCTGGGTGTGCCTTCTTCCAAGGTGGGGAAAGAACGAAAATTCATCGGTACCTAAATATCTGAAAGGCGATTTTCAATTTCTCGTTAAACTGTGTTTCCCAAAGTATTCTTTGTGCCCTCCCTCAAATTTGTGTCCCATTGGGCGTTGTTTCTCGGAATTTCATTGGATTACGTCATATTTAAAAGGGGACGTTCTTCCTGCTGTTGGTGTTGCCGATGCTGCTGTGTTGGTGGTAAGAGTGGTGGCAGCTTTTCCCAGTGGGGAGTGACACTCACATCAAAATTTCAGGAGTAAGTGCAAGATCAGAAGAGGTAACAGCCAGGTGCATCCGGCCCTTCTCGACGTGCCATTGTTCACCTCACTGACGGCGCCAGGGCCTGTGGAGAGAACACAGCTGTCTTGAGTCAATTGGCAGAGAATGGAAGCGAACCCCTCCGTCCATCTCCTGGTCTGATGAGACATCCCTCTACCTAGGAGGATGTTGAAGTCTAGTCAGGGACGCCATTAGAAAGCAGATCACCTCGCTTTGATTACAGGGGCACATTCTAGAGCCTGGTTAGCCTGCTCTGGAAAATACTAGAACATAAGACTCAGATTAAAGTACCCTAGTGGTCAGTACTCTAGCTGTGTCAGAATTTGCTAAGGCCGCAGCTCGAGGTCAAATTTAACACAGCATGGAAATAATTGTTCTATGTTTATAAGTTTCAATGAAGTGACTCCCTTGAATTGTGTGCACTATCATTCAACCAGTTTAAATCACTGATTACCATAGCTATGGACCACGCTTCGTGCCCCCTACTACGCCCAGCCCAGCCTGTTGCTCAGGAGAGGATCTGTTGCATACAGTGATGTTTCTCTGCTGCTAATACTGCTGCTGCTGAATCAGTAGCAGAATGTCAGCTGTCAATCACAGTATCTCTGGCAGGGTGCTAGGCCTCCACCAGGAGCATCTGACATATTCCTCATTTAGTTCTGGGAACAGACCTAACTTTCATGTCAGAAAGGTCAGAAACAATGCACATGGAATGGAGATGGAAGCAGGTAAATAACCAGGTGACCCCTGATTGTGCATGTATAAGAAATGGGAGATTTATATGGAGAAAGGGATTTAGAATCAGCCGTGGTCTATGTCTGCGGGTGGAAATGGGTCACACATTTCCCCAGGAAGCACACACCGATCTGGTCTGAGCTACATCCCTTCATTTCCCCCCAAACATCCTTATTGTTCTGAAACACCAGCTCTATGGCTATCTTGGTCCTGGTGGCTGTGAATCCCCCCAAAGTTGTAGCTGTGATTCATGAACAGACTACCCATGTTGGAACATTTAGACCTGTATCCAACGCACCGGGTAGTTGCCATGGTGACACTGTCAGGTACTCAGTGGACTGCTGATCATAAGGGGCAGCAGGTTCCAATCCACCAGGCACCCTACAGGAGAAAGATGAAACTCTCCACCCCTGTAAAGGTTTACCGCCTTGGAAACCGCATGGAAAGTCTCTACGCATTAGAATCGCCAAGATAGCAGTGGGAAATGAACCAGGGCATCTTCCCGGATTGGGTCTGACCTGGTTTGTGCTGCTGTGTTCCAGTTAATAGTGGTATTTATTGTGTTCTTCTGTTGTACATAGGATGGTAATGCGTCAGAACTGACTCAATGGCTTAGTACAACAAAAACAATAATTTAAGGTTAAGCTCACATTGTTCATTCTTCATACCAAACTAAAACTCTCTCCCATCAAGTTGACTAATAGAAACCCTATAGGGCAGGCTAGAACTGCCCCTGTGAGTTTCTGAGACTGGAACTCTTTACAGAAGTAGAAAGCCTGCTATTTTTGTCCTTGGAGCAACTGGTGGCTTTGAACTGCTGACTGTGTGGATCGTACCCCAGTGTGTCACCATGACACTACCTCATACCGGGGGGCAGAAACAAAGGCCCAAACCTGCTTGCCTGGTTTGAAAGCTCATGCTTGAAGCTCTGTCTGGTTAAAGCAAAGCAGAATCAAGTCTGACTTCTCGGTTTCCCCCGGGTCCTAGGGTCCTGGCCATGAGCCACTGCTCATGGAATTTTGTGTCTTGGTCCTTTACAGCAAATCCCTGGTTCTAGGGAGTGGCTAAATTGACCATCTCAAGTTTGAAATACAACTGGTCATGTAACGTCCTGTTTTCCTGGTATCTGTGTTGTGGTAGCTCCAGGGCTAGCACTTGGTTGTGCAAGTTCTCCCGAGAAAAGCCATAGGGACATTATGCTGATTTCCTCCCTACAGGATGGTGACCAGATGGGCAACACAGAGCTTAGGGCATCTGCCTGCTGAGGAACATCCTTCTCCTAATCCAGGGAGAGACACAGGGAACAAAGAGGGCCACTGAAAAGCTTCTTAAGACTCACATGAACGTTCAGAGCTCCTCATTTATGGTGTCCTCTAAAATTTGGCTTGAATGTAAGAGGTGTTATGCTTCTATATACATATGCCTATGGCCTCCCTAGGAGCCCTGGTGATGCAGTGGCTGCTACCCACAAGGTCCCCAGCCACTCTGTGGGCAAAAGATGAGACTTTCTAGTCTCATACAGAAGGATAGTCTCAGAAACCCACAGGCAGGGGTAGTTCAACCCTGTCCTCCTCCTGGGCTGCCACGAGTTAGCATGGACTTGTGAGTAAATGCGAGTGATGAACTCTATTTATGACCAGCCACTCTGTTAGCGATGAAAACTATTTTAGTGGAGAATGCCACTCTGATGTTTTTAAGGATCATGTCCCTTACCATCTGGGCCACTGTAATCCTTCTTACCAAACTGCTTTCTAGTACCTGAGGTGATGTCGCTAAGACTTAAGTCCCTAAGAACTGGCCGCCCTTTGTGGAATCCTTGTTTAATCTAGTGGTTGTGGTTTACCTTCCCACAACCCCATAAAACACGAGTGATTCTGCCGTGCCCTGAATAGGTGGTCCCCTGTGCTTCTGGCAGGACATCTATATTTTTAACAAAGTGCATGGCTTCTTCTTTACTTGGTTTTTCATGTTTTCTTTCCTGAGCATCCAAACACACAGCTTCAAAATCCATTTGGGAAATAATCTACTTCTCCCTCAACTACAGTATCCCTTCCACCTGTACCCCATGGCAAAGAAGACCCCTGTGGGGAGAGTGAAGGGGGCACAAGACCCTTTCCAGCATTTAGAGGGTCTCTCCTCCTATATCCACTCCTTTCAGGGCTGGTCTTCCAGTGAGTGTTTCCAGGGATGAGAATGTTGCAAGCCAGGTGAACAACCCCGCAGGGAACCTGCATGGACACTGTGTAGAAAAAGGCTGAACACCTTGTTATGGGCTCCATGACATAGTGGTCTTAATTCTGGGACACAATGGCCTGGAGTCTGTGCCGGGTGCGCCCTCAGGGCACTGTGTTCGATCTCTCCACCATGACTCTCTAGCTCCTTTGTGGCTCTGCCCCACCACCCTCATCCTACTGAAGAGCATCACAAAGAGCCTGCAGGGAGGGTCCTGACCTGGCCTGGTAGAAAACTCTTGGTATAGAACAGAAATAAAGGCCACTCAGTGGCTGTCTGTTAGAGCTGCCTCTTTTTTTATACTGCTAACCTGGGGAAATTTCCAGGGCCTCTCTATGGTTCAGGGCTGCTTCTCATTGCACAAGTTCCTGCCCAGCCTGCCCTCCTGGCTTCTCCTCACATCATCCTGCCTTGTCCTAACTGCATCCTTCGCTTCAGCTCACTCCTTGCACCTGGGACAGGTGTGGTGTCTTGAAGAAGAAGCTTTGAGGAAGAGCAAGACAGAGGGGAATTCTCTGGGACAGTCACTCCCAGTAACTCCCCTTTCGATTTCCATGAACGTTTTGAACCCATTGAACCTCACATCCATTTGTTATGATAACTCTAGAGCGATTTTCTGAGAATCAATGTAATTTGAATCCTCCAGCTTATATAAAATCCTATCAACTTCCTGGTGGAGCATTCACTGTGTTTCACAATCTGTTTGCTCTCTGTGCCTTTGGACTTCCCTCTGGCCACATGCAGCGGTCCACTGGTCTCATACAACACACCCACACATGTGCAGGCCCATACACACTCACATATGAACACACACTCCCATGCCAACACATGCATATACATAGGCACATAACTATATACCCAAGCCCATACGCACATATGCTTGCATGTACATATGCAAGCACACGCACACATCTAGGCATACTAATATACATAGGCACACACTCACAAATGAACTCTCTAGCCAAGTGCTCTCTCTACTTGCTCGCTCTCCTTGAATCCCTTTTCAAGGAGATTCCCTTCCTTGCCACTCCATTCCTTGTGCCAGCCAGTACTCAGCATCCAAACACCTTCTCCAGGCAGCCCGGCTGTGCTCTCTTGGCTCAGCTCTCATAGCATCACACACATCCACCCAGTACTATCAGTCCCACCTGCCTTTCCACTTCTCTCTGTTTATCTTAAAGAAGCATTTCCTCCTTGCCACTGGGATTTGTTTACCATCAAGCCTGCATCTAATTGGATCTATGGTAGAGAGTCAATAAATGCTTATTGAAAGAAGGAACATTGTCTCCTATGCTGACATGGTCATATTTCCATTTTCCCATATTTTTCTTTTGCTTGTAATGATACTGGGAGAAAAAGAAAAAAAACTGAACCAAAATTTTAAAAACGCCGTTACTCCCTTGTCTTTTGCTTTACTCTTTTTTTTCTTTCCATACACCTTCCCCATCTTCTTTCTTTTTCCAATAAAATTCCCTGAACATCTTCGGTGGAGGAAAATAGACATAAACCATTTGACATGGGGGGAACAAAGTCATATACACTAGGGTTTCAAACACAGTGCTTGCAGTTGGACAGGTAACATACGTCTCAACACCCACATGTAACAGTGAGGATTATTCGCATGCTTTTTAATATGTGGCCACTTCAGTGAGCTTACATGACTTTCCCAAGGTCCCCTGGCCTTCTAAGAGCCTCTGTTTCATGTTTTTGGAGAACGGAGAGAACAGAGGATGACATGGGCTTCATACACCTGGACACTATTTGATGGAGGGAACCAGAAGTGTATGTAGCCTGCCCAACACATGGATAAGGCCACAGGTAAGTGCCAGTCATTCCATGTGCAAGGCCCTGCAAGACCCCGTGCTTGCCAGAGTGACACCTCCGCCACCTGCCTGGGCACAGACCCTAAGGATGAATCCTCTATGCATCTCTAAGTCATGCCTCCTCCTATATCCAATACCTGCTTCACCTCTCTCAATAGGGAGCTGTGGAGGCCAGAGAGACTAATTAACAAGAAAGTCAGGGTTCCCAGGGAACTCTGATGAGTGTCAATTACCCATCAGAAACATCTGGCCGAAATGAAAGTCTCAAATAAGA